AGACCGAAAGGAACCGAAGAAAAATAGCCGGAAGCTTTACATTGATTTGAGGTCATGAGCAAACTTCAGCTGGGAGACTTTCAATAATCTGACCCTAAACACCTCCCCAAACAGTCAAGGAATTCTCTACGCTTTGCGGGGTCATTCCGAACGAAGAACCGGTCGAAAAGCCACGCTTCACGACTCCTGCTTTAAGGTCTCCGTGCCGTAGATCAATGCCTGGCAAAGCGCGGCATTGCGCCCAGGCGGGCGGGTGAACGTCCATGTAGGGGTGGGGGATGTTTGCGAATCAACCGTCGCCACTAACCATCAGAAAGCAGCTGCTGATCTTTCCAGCCTTTCACGACATAGTTCCTCTTTCTTCTACTTCTCTGACTCTTGTCGGTGATTGGTCTGTCATCCTGGTCCTCTTCAAAGTCTTTCCGAATGCGTCTTACACTCAGTGACACTGTTGAGGATCATCTTACTTCGAAGATGGCATGCCCATCACTGCCGATAGCACAAACTGCTGCCATGTCAAGGGTCCCCCCAAAAAAAGACACAGCGACACCCTCGGTCGACGGCTGTGCTACCAGGGGGCTGACATGAGCTCATGGCAGCATGCATTGATACCTGGAAGGGCTTCTCGACGTGTCGAAACGGGGACCCGTGAACAGCACGGTCCCTGTTCACAGCGGTTCTTAACATATCATCTTCTTAAGAGGGCCGTTGGAGAGTCGAGTGTCACCCTTGAATTTACGGTAAATATGTAAGTTTACAACCTTGAGCCCAGCAGCCAAGTTCTACTTTCACTTGGTGCTGTGCTCTGCGTGGCTGTACACAAATGCACTCATACTCTACATACTGTATCGGAGCAGGCGCCCGGTCATGCGGCGCTGAGCCCTAGCTCTTGGAAGCCTGGACTTGACTAAGACAACCAACAGGCTTGTTGTCCACGCTGGACCTAGCTCTTGGAAGCCGGTTGTTTCATGGCCTTTTCCATGTTTTTGTTGGGGTTAGACGAGCTGGAAGGCGATGGAATGTTGGTCGGATGCTCCCGCTTTTCAATGATTGCTCGTCGCGAGGCTCCATTCTTGGGAGAAACTAAACCGACCGAAATCTCCTCACCTGCGCTTCGTCAAGAGTTTGCGTGACCATTCATGCGCTCCCAACAACACAAACCTTAAGAAAAGCCAGCCCTAAAAGTGAACACAAGTGCTCCGAAATAACAAGAGTCTCCAGTGAAGCTCCCAAGTTCATTCTGTGAACTCCCGACTTGAAATTGGCAAGGAGCTCTAACGCTAACCCTATTCAAAACCAAGCCGTCGGGTGAGGGATTTGTGTCTTGCGACGGCTTCGAGCTTTGTTATTTCAATTCGGGACGTCGAAATAGTGGGTGGGCTGGAGACAGCGTTCCAGTTCGGTTTGAGAGGGTCGCTTGATGGCCCTGGCCCTGGCCAGCTGTAGCCACATAACTTGTTTCAAACCGCCCAAAAAGAACCAGTGATCGTGATGGTCCAGCCATAACGTCTATAGACTAATTAATGCTCAGTTTGACCCAAACACCAAACAAAGGATATGGACGATTTGCAACTCCTCGATCATAAGTTCTCTCGGCAGGTCGCCTCTAAGAGCGGCTTCCCGTCCGTCTAAGACAATATGGAGGGGTCTATCACAAACAAAACCCAGCTGCTTGGATGTACATCTGTGTACAGCCACTTGGCAAAGCACCAAGTGAAAGGAGAACTTGGCTGCTGGGATGAAGGTTGTAAACTTACAGGCTTACAGTAAATTCAAGGGTGACACTCGACTCTCCAACGGCCCTCCTAAGAAGATCAATTAAGGGGAGTCCAATTTCCAAACATGAGGCATGGTTAAGAGTTTATTGTGGCCCCCAATAGAGAACTAATGTGTTCCCTTTCAAGGGCTGCTTTGACCACACTATGCGGCTGCATTTGCCTCTTCTACTGCAAGGATATGTATTTTGTTGCAAAAAATGAGCCCCCGCGATTGGGCCTATCCTATGTTTCAAGCAGCTCTACCCTCAAACACACCCTACTTGTGGCCCATACATACTCAAATGGGACTATATCGAACACCCCATAATTAGGAAACCTGCATATCTGCTCTGGTTGCCTTGAAACATATTCATCATTCCATTCACAACTACCCAACTACAGTAGCACCTTGTTCAAGCATCATCCAAATGGATGTGTAGATGGTTTGATAGGGAGACCGGGAGACCCCCCTGGCCCAAGGGGTAGACGATGGGTCTCTCTCCCAAAAGCTTTCCTCCACATCCCATCCCAGGCTCCAAGCTGCGGTCGGTCCTGTTCTGTTCCTCGGGCCAACAACCGGTTCCCGTGGCCTCCGGATACCCGGCCACTGCACCTGGGCGCCCAGCGGTGGGTGCTGGAGATGAGAAGCTGATGAGAAAAACACGACGCAAGATCCACAACCAACTGCCAGTGCCCTTTTGGCCCATCACCGCCATGTAATGTATATAAAAGGATGCGAAGATGGGTTATGCATGAATTCAGCATGAGTTCTGGAACCTATACATATCCTTGGGGTGCATGAAAAGGGATCAGTGTGTTGCCAGTCCTGCCAATCCCACAGTGTCCCACAGAGTGCTATAGTTTCGTGTCTGGGGTGATTGTTCCAATCCACACCAGAAGAGGTTGCGAAACTAGGACCCTGGTCTGCGGTACATATGGGATGGGCGAAACAGGGCTCTGAAAACCTCTCGTCAAGGCACCTCGTCTTCGTCGCGTCCGAACGCTCCGGACTTGTCGCGTCCAGGCTCTGTCAAGGCACAGCACTGCACCAAGCTGTCGCCCCAGGGCGCTGCCAACACACAGTCCGTGCTGGAGCCCACGCGCTGGGCCACCTCCTCGCGGTCGAGCGGTGAGGGATGGAAGGTCACCTGATGATTTGCTTAGGGCCTTGGAGTTCTATTCATTTTGCTAGGGCCTTAGAGTTGCAAATTCATTTGGAAGTGAGCTTGCAAATGTGGTCCAGGAACGTTTGAAGTGTGTCTACTTTGGAATTCTGACTTCAATGGGGTTCTTCATCCACGTCACACTTCCCATACGGACACAGTTCGACCGGGCGCGCGGCGTACCGGGCGCGACATCGCCCAGCGCCGAACCTGCACCGCCTCGTGGAGCTCGTGATCCACCGAGCTCGTGGCCTCACTAGAGAGAGAGAGAGAGAGAGAAATGGCAATGGCCTCCAACCCAGCAATGGCCTCCCACCTATATACTGTAATAGAGCGAGAGAGAAGTGGTCTGAGTGTAGGTGCCACAAATATCTGTGCCACACCTCACTTCCGAAACCACTGGACCACTGATTCTTTCTTCAAATGAACAGGATGAATCCAGGGTGCAGTGCATCACATCAAAATTGTCTTGGGGAGTTTCTTCCCAGAATCCCGAGAGTGGGAACAGCAGTAGCATCACATGTCAATCCTTGCTTTGTGCGACACATGCGACACATGTCAGAGTCTTGTAAGATCTTTCACCCTTCAAATGTCAAAAGACACTGTGCATGCCATTTGCAAACCTACACGGAAATATGAGCAATAGTGATCATAGAGTGCACACTCATTGGAGGGCAAGCAAACCATCCATGGTGTGCAGACATCGGTACGGACCATCCAGGCGGTCATCCAGGCAGTGCAGAAGATCGACCCGAATCCATTCGCCACGGAAGCCGCGCCAGCCCAAAGCGGTTCATCGGTTCATCCCACGAAAGGTCAACCCGACTGATGTGGTGGTGTTTTTTTTCACACCTGGATGGCACCATGAATCGACCATGCCAGCTCGAGCTGGCAAGCCATGTGACGTTGTGTATGTTTTGACATGTTTGGAGGATCCCGCTGATTTACACACTCATGAAACGGGATGGAATCTCACCAAACTGGCTCGAACACTTCTCCTCAAGTCTTGAGGAGAACATCTACCACCACCGCACCATTCTCATCCATTCCCCGACCAGTACTCTCCTTCCAACAAGCGGGAGATCCGCATCCACGGAACCCTCCGATCTCCTCCGACTGCCCAGCGACGCCGAAACTCAACCATGGGAGAGCAGCCCCGATGACTCCGCCGCGAAAGCGCATCATCGCCAGGTGCCATGGCAGCAGTTGGTGCAAGCAGTTCCAGCGTGTGCGTATGGACTGTATGGAAGTATCTTTGTGTTGTAGTTGGTAGAGACTTGTATATTATTGTATAGTTACTAGTAATTTAAGGCTTAGGTGACTTAGGTCTTTGGATGTTCACACACTGCCAAACTGGCAATTTCTATGTCAGATCTCCATTAGAGCACAAGGTTACCCTCTTTTGCCAGAATTTCACCATATGTCACCTAGCTTGGCTCATGTCAGCCCTTACAGGAACTATGCTATCGACTCTCAGCAACTTGACGCGAAAGCACGTGAATACATCGAACGTCTACCGAGGTTTACGTGAGTTGGGGTACTCTACTTGGGTTTATCTCAATGTAGCTCATCTTTTCATGAAAGTAGGAGTCTATCTGTCCACCCCCAAAGAATCCACCATTCCTCCAATTGGTCTTAGTGGAACCCCGAGTGTTCAACTCGCTTAATCATCTTAATCTTCGGAAGCACAACAACATGGCATTTCTTCCTCCGAAAACGAAACAAGGTGATGGATCACCCAAGTACGGTATGATTCTGGGATCAAGTCGGCCAGTTTTGACGCCGAAGGAGTTCCAAACATCATGGTCGCATGGTCCCAAAAAAGCTGTTTCTATATATATTCCAAATCAAGCCAAAAGTGGCGGGGTTTGCTCCAAGGGCGTATATATATATATATTGTTATAAGTATATATCATTCGAGCACATACTGTATCATGTAGTAAAGAAGAGCGAATTGATATGTGTAATTAATAGTACTAACCATAACTAGTACAAAACGTAATATAAATATATAATATATAATTATATATATGTTATGTTATATCATATAGTTATATATATATATATTTTTCTTATAGACTGTGGATTTGTTGTTTTCATCAATCTGATGAACTCGACGTCTGTGATGGCATATTCCTCCATGGGAGTCATATGCTGCAGAATCAAGGAGTATTTCAACGCAAATTGCGGCCAGTTCGTGGAATAGCCCAGAAGCAAATAGTCGCAGAGGGGCAGGATGTGGTTGAAATACCTCATCTGAGGATTGGTCAAAGATACTTGGTCACAACACCCCTCTGAGAAGTTGAGCGAAAGCAAAAGCACTCCGTCCCGTGGGGGTCTCCTCCGTCCCGTGGAGGCGTTTTTGCCCTTCCTACTCCTCTAGAGCTGCATGAGTGTGGCGCACGCCAGAACTGGTGGGGTCAGCAAAAGTGAAGTCACCATCCTGGACCATCCTGGTTGAAGTCACAGCGGAGGGATGACCGAAAATGAACAAACATGAACAGGGAAGGCCACCAAAATGAAGCAAAAGCTCATCCGAATGAAATGCCCGCCCACTGGTTAGGCCAAAAGCATAAAAAAGCTTGCACCCTCCCCTCACCAGTGTGTTCCACGCATCTCAGCCACCACAAGAACTCCTCCATCTCGCACTCAGTCCAGCTAAAGCTGGCGATCATCACACGCACAGAACTGGGCACCGACACACTCGTGCGGTAGCTGTAGAGCCAAAGGTCCTGAGAACCGTGAAGAGCCAGCTCTCAACAGGAACAAGAAGCTACTAGGGGCTCCTGGCATCGCTACTAGGAGCAAGGACGCTACTAGGGGCTCCTGGCCATACTACGAACGGAACAAGAAGCTACTAGGAAGAAAGATGCTAGTCAAAACAGCTCTTCATGGCGCTGAACAAACACCTGCCTGGGCCGAGTTGATCATGTCTAGTAGTCTATTCAGTTCATTTTCGGTGACCAACCAGGGTGCCGGTGCCATGAACCACAGCTCCATCGACTTTCAACAGCTTCAATGCATGCAACCCCTCTGATCTCCACCACATGATACGACATGCAGGGTCAAAACCGGCTATAATACCGACTAGCTGTTTCCTATGATGTTCGATTTGTACGCCGCCGCCACAACCCAAGCGAATTCCCAAGTCAGATCACTTGAAGTCTGGTTTTTCAGGATATGCAAACGCGTCCGCATGACTCAGCATGACAGCTTCGAGTGGCCAATGTGTCCGTTCATGTCGTTTCCTCAAAAAAAAAGCAACAAAATCTTACTTCTTTTGTGCCAGGGTGTTTCTGTTGAATTACAGTTTAAAAAAAATAAACGGGTCACACTCCAAGTCCAACTGTGTCCCACGTCCCCTCCCTTCCCGTGTCGTCCCTCGTCTCGTCTTGATCCGCCTTGAGCTTAGTCTGCACGAGCCGCACCACCGGCGCGACGGGACGTGGCAGTTTCCACATCCTCACCGGTCTGTCCCGCCGTGGCAGTTTCTTCTGCATGTTGGATGTGTCCAGGCGCTTGATTCATGGGGGGTTACAGGCGATTGGTGTATATTATATGATATTATATATATATATATACGTGTGTGTGTGCTGCTACTTTCAGAATGAAGTAAAGGAATTATATTTACTGTACATGGTATTACAAATTATGGAATCAAGGAAGGAGTCAAGGAAGGGCCCTGCACCACCACTGCAGTTGCATGGATTTTCCCTGCGCCAAGCAACCCAGGATCTGCGTCCAGAGCAACTTTGGATGACTCTAGGTGGAAAGACATACCGACATACCGTACCAAACCAAAACGGGAGGGAGCCCCCAACCGATGAGTTGCTGTGTCTGTTGTTTTCTTACATCAGATTTGGGTGCCTCACTCCCGCTGCATGGTCGCCCTGTGCAGCACGACCAGCTCACGGTCTTGGAAGAGCCTCATTCCAACACCTCCTGTGCAGCCCAGCTGCTCAGGAGCGTGGCTGGGAGGACCTTGGAACATCCGGGTCAACCAATGCATGGCATTATCCAAGAGAGGTTAAGTGACCTTATAGGACCCTACTGGGGTACCTATGGGATAGTCTAGTTCGGGTCATTCAACCTCTGTTGGATGGCATTCGTCCATGCGAAAGAAGCGAGGCACCTGCTCACCTGCTCCTTGGTGCAGCGCAGAGCAGGACTGCTCCTTGGGGATGCCCCCGCCTTCACTCGGACTCGGCCGGACGACGAGACCATGTTTGGCGTGCAAGGCAATGCACCGGCCGCTTCACGTGCGACGACTGAGAGAGTTTGGATGGGAGTCATTCAATGCAAAACAGATCCCAGCTGACCAAATCTCTGGTTTGGATGAGGAAAAAGAGATGTCGGTGGCTCTCTGACCAAATCCCATTCCATCTCGCGTGGAGCGATTCGTCCCGATGATCCAGTTCCACCAAGGCACTTGACAAGTAACTTGACAAGTAGCCACGTGGGACAGCAATCCCACGAGCACAAAAGCCTAGGCCGGACATGTGGGGCCTCCAACCTATAGGAGCGATGGCCTCCAACCCACTAGTGATGGCCTCCAACTCCAACCTAATCAGAATTTGGTTTCTTTCGAAATTAAAAGGAGTGATTTCTGTCTGAGAGCTATGGTTGAAGTGGTGATTGTCGTAACGCCACTCCTAGAACTGTGTTGCAGAAAGCATTTCTCTAGAAGAGCCCTGGAGATAAACTGTAGGGTTCTGGTACTGTACACCAAGTAAGAGCTGAACAGTCAGACGATGTGCTGTTTCAGTGAACACCAAGCAACGCTCCAAGTGGATGTTCTTGGGCAGCGTTTCTTGCAAGTACCACGCCTGCAGCACATCTTTAAGTTCTTACTAGCAGCCTCAGTCTGCCGTTCTCAACAAAAATTTGACAATCATCAAAACCTGTTCAAAGCCGTACCCACAGAAAACTGTCAAAACCATCGCCTCAAGTTCGGGCCAACGAGAACAGCCATAAAAGACCGTGCGGTGTTCGGCCTGTAAGGCGCTCACATGCTCCAAATCAAAGACGCTCCAGCTTTTAAAGCCCAACTCTGAAAAACCAAAGAGCTTCGCCTGAGAGACGTTCGTTGAACACGAAGCCAGCTTTATCCGGTGTTTGACCACACCAGCGGCAGGAGGTGCGGAATCCAAGCACATGTGGTGACCAAGGCACCTGTTGACTAGGAAACACCTGTTTTAATCCAGGTATATGATATATGATATATGCTCCATATTCGACCGAGCATTGGTGTCTGTTTATCACTTGGTGACAAAATAGACGGTGTTGACATGGACACCCTGTGGATGGATGACCGTGTCTGAAGAGATCGCCTTCAAAATAGGAACTTTGATGGATGACTCGTTCCAAACCCCAAGCAGTTCCGAAAACTCTGAATCATGGATTCTTGGACAACCCCGCTTGGTAGATAGAATAGCATCTTCTCAGAATACATCCACTGTTGCAGTGTGGTTTCAACGAAGTGATCCCATCCCCAATCGCCTCTACACTTTTTTAATACCCCCCGGGCTGGTGCTCCAAAAACACGCTCCAAGACGAGATCACTTTGGAAGCCATCCACACCAATGACCCGTAGCCACCACCCACCTGGCAGGCATTATATATATATAGATCCAATAGTTTCTTAATTTCAACAGATCGGGGAGGATACACTCCAAAGATGGAGTTTGTTTCTGTCAAGTCAAATTGGAGACATCCAAAAAACGAGCACATGAGCCACGGTCAAAATTATGGACATGGCCTGCTCATCTAGCGATTTAGTGAGTCCCCTATCATTTTACAGGGGGCGGGTGTTCCACCTAGGCTTTCCACCAATACAAGGACACAACACACCCAATCAAAAACACAAATCATTTTACAGTGTTTGCAAGTTGTTCCTTAGAATGCCACTTGCAAGAAAGCTCCTGGACAAGTCTTGGGGCCTTTAACTGGGGAGGGGCATCCCATGCAATTCTGGGCTATAGTTCGGTTGTCGTTCATGTTATCGTTCAAGCTCACAAGCACGGCCACAATTCAAGAAGTATAGTACGATACATGTTACAAACAATATAGGCTTTCACAACAATATCAACGGGACATTCAAATGGAGCTGCCTTTACAATATTTTGAGAGTACTTCACATCAAAATCAACAGAAGCCATCGCCTGTGCTTCCCCAAACACCTGTGCTTCCAAAAGATTCAATGACGCTTGAACCTCATCCATACCATGGTGGGTCTCTCCCCGAAACCGGCCTTTGTATGGGGGTTTCAGCCGTCGCAAAAGACATGAAAAACAATGCCCCACAGCCTCTCCGTGAGCCCCCGTGAGTCCCCCCTGTTGTCCAGCCATGTGCTGAAGAGATCAGAAGAGTTTCTTCTTGGATGCTTTGGTACCATACCGATGGCATCTCTCTGCAACGTAACTTCGCGAAACCGCTGCCCTTGGTTACGTCGTCGCCTCAAAGACCTCCAGATCCATGCCGCTCCAAAGCCCTCGCCTCGAGAAACATGCAAACAGGCCGTGGCCCTGCAGCATGCACTTTCAGAGAAACCCGAGGGGGTCAAGGGTCAAAGAGACACGGAAGATGGACATTCAGTTGTTCGTTTTATTCGATATATTTGAGTGTATCGCTATATCTCTCTGTATCTTCCACCAGAACACAGCACCCACCACACTTTGTAATCTACCAAGCCACCCACTCGCAAGACGAGCGGTCTTTTCGGGGCCTTTGGAAGACCGGTCCACAGTCTGGAGGAATAGCCTACCGTTACCGGGGGGCGCCGGGGCCGGTACAGAGATGTGGTGGCCTACTCGAGCCGTCTGACCCGAGTGACCCAACGAGCGAAACACCGTCTGACCTGAGTGACCCGAGGTTTTTCTCCGGGTCGACCCTGAAGTGGTGGTGCCCCATATTGGAGGAAACTGGACTTCGAGCGACTCGACGGTCGAGGCAACTTGGGATCCATAGACACCGATTCACTGCCGTCCGCTGGTCAGCGGATTCGATTCACTACCGCAAATACCCCTCCGAAACCGCAAGGAAGCTGCGGCGCTGCTGGCCAAAGGGACCCTTCGCCATAGAAGATGCAAAGCAGCATCAGGTGAATTTGGAAGGTCAGTGAAATCTGGCAGCCGACGAAGCAAGTGGCGCAGATTTCGCGCAGATCGCACGCAGAATCGGTGTGGATTCTTTAAAAAGTGCCACGGGCAGTTGTGGTGGAAATGGCATGAAATGGTGCTTAAAGGGTTTTTCCGCTCCGAAATTGGAAACAATGAGGACACTCAAACTGACTGCATCCGGCTGCCATTGTGGTTGCGTAAGATAGCCCCAGGCACCTTGATTTGACAACAGCAAGAATCAACCACACATGCTCGTGCAGCTAATCCTTCAAGGATATTGTCTGAAACAACCAGCGCCACCCAAGGGGTGGTTATTGGATGAAAAATACCTCTTCAGGGGGTTCTAGAAACCATCCTTTGGGTGGTGCTGGAAGTGTGTACTTCTCACAGTGAGTGACTGGCAGCGCTTCAAGAAGCTAAAGGCGCAAGCTTCTCTTTTCTCTTCCTTCAGCAACCCCTCCAAGGGGTTCAGAGGCTCGCACCCTATGGCGCGAGGTCGAAGCGTCCGTAGGGGTACTCCCAAAAGGAGTCTTGGCCGAAGGGGTCCTGTGACCCGTTTGAGGCAAAAAGGAACAAGTGGCGTCGAACATGCTTCTCGTGGCATGATGGACACCTGGTGGCTAGACCAAAAACAAGCTGAGGCATTTTCAATCAGACACCCAAAAGGCCAAAAGGTGTCCGATCGTGCCGGATCAGGTCCAGCATGCTCAGTGCCCACTCAGGTGAGGTAGAGCTCGGGGTCTTCTCAGGCACTGATTGCATCCTCTCAGCTTTCGGCTTCTTCTTCGAGGCCGTGAACATGGGATCGAAAATGATCCTCCACCATTGGCCTTGCTGTAGGAAGGCCTTCAACATGTCCTGGGCTGAGCTCTTCGTCAACTCGTCTGACAGCTGGGCATCGGAAGATACCCAAAGGAGCTTTGTGCCCTGGAGGCGTAGGTTCTCGGCCACGCTCATCAACTCCAAGGCCGCGTACTTCTCCTTCATGCTGTAGGCGGAACTCGCTGTCTCACCCTTTTGGACAGCATTGAAGACAGTCTTGGCGTCCACCCCCATCGCCGCTCGCTGCGCCGCTAGAGCCAGGTGAGGCTCTCGAGGATTCACCTCCTTGTTCAGCATTTCGGCCCATTGGAAGCGGCAGAGCATCTGCTCTTGCTCTCCCTCTGAGAGCGCCTGGACTTCCGCTGCCAGGCTTGAGCGAGCCACCCGTGGGAAGCTTTCCAGACCTCCACGAAAGAGGATTCACCAGCCCCTTTCGGCCAGTAGAGGACATGTCAGGTCTGTTCCCGACAGCTGCGTCCGTCCAGGTCGCGAAGGCGATGTCCTCCAAGTGGTCCACGTTGAGCTGCTTTTAATGTGGACCGAAAGGTGCCTTTGGGCATCCACCTCTGTGCACAGCTTGTTGACCTGGTTCAACCAGTCTTTGTTGTGCTCTGGAGCCATGAGAGCTTGGCTGCATGCTGCGGCGCCGACTGCAGCACACGCCATTGCACTGCTCCCAAAACTGCGCGGCACTGCGAGTGCTTTATCTCCGCGCAGTACTCATCGTGGGACAGGACGAAGAAGTGATCTTCCAGTTGGTTGATGGTCACTCCGCAGTGTAGGAAAGGAGTGCTTTCCCATGGAGACCAGCGAAAGGCCTTCTTGAACTTTTCCATGACCATGCGCCATTCTGGTGACAGGTTGTCGCCGGCAATGAGGAAGTCGTCCACGTGTGCGGCAATGATGCCGCGAGGTTCATTGCCAGGCTGAGGGTCATCCAAAACCCAAACACAGGGGTCGCTCTTCAGCTGGCGAAGCTTGCAAACCTCAGTAGCCACCCTGTTGACTTCCAGGAACCATTCACGGGGAGCTGAAACCAATCCGTAGGCAGGCTTCAGGATCTGGACACATTCTCCGGGCGCCACACCCAACTCTAGTACAGGGATGGCATAGATGCTGCGGTTGGCCTGGTTCATAGTTCTGTGTAGGAATGCCGATTTGGCGTCTGCCTTGGTGAGGGTCCAATGCTTTGCTGCCGCGAGGTTCAGCGTCAACTGACGGGAGCGCCGTGTGAGTGTTGGTGCTGAGGTGGCTAAGGTGGTGAGGTCAGGGTCGGTGAAGCCCAACAAAACGATGCGGGCTTTGCTCTTTGCCACCTTTGGATTGTCAGTGGCCTTGAGGGTCAAGACCCATCTCATCTTCATGACCCTTCCCTGAGGGATCACGCCCTTGAAGTGGCCTCCTGCATAGCTGCCCGCTGCTTTGGGTCAAGGCGGGCCCAACTGACTTCTGCTCCCTTCTGCATGCTTTTCGCCACGAAGCGTGCTGGACCTTTTCGGATCCTTCTCCAGGCGGCCTCGTCCTCTGGCATCTCAATCTCCACGCCGTAGAGGAAGTCGTGGGAGACATTCTGGCACCACATAGCGGCGGACTCTAGCTCCTTCTTCTTGACATGGAGTGGTCTGTCGTCCAACTCACGCAGGCGCCGCTGCCGTTGAAAAGGTGTCGAACTTCTTGGAAAGAAACCTCTTCCCAACTGCTTCTGGTGCATCATGTTGCGGCTTTCAGTGAAGCTCCTAAATTTCCCCTCATAGGCGGCATAGGCCTGGTCAAGCTCTTTCTGCTGCTCCTAGTGAGATAGGATTGCTGTTGCTGTGCATCCCAATCCGTGAGGGCCCAATAGGTGCCAGCAGCATCCTGGTGATAGAACTCCTCAGTCTCCTCATCATAGTCCCACCAGGTATATAGCTGCCTTGGCCATCTTGATACCACGTGCCTTCTCCCTGGCTCGTTGAAGGTGGGGTATACATACCAAACACTCCATAGTTCATGGACAAGGCACTGGTGTCACCAATCCAATGGGCGTCTTGCACCCAGTCTTCCATGTCTTCCTCCGCCGCGGTCAGGAGTGACCATTCGCCTTGGTGCTCCATCCAAAACACAGGGCGGTGAGTGCCCTTCTTGCCATGCCCCTTGGGAACTTGTTCACGTTCATGAACACGTAGTTCATCCTCAGCGCCACGAAGACCACGTTCAACATCTTCAGCACGAAGTGAGTTCACAATGGAGGAGAGCACGTTCAGGCGTTGTTGTGAGCTCAGGCCTGAACGACGAAGCATCAGCCAGCCAACCAGCTCTGTCGGCAGGACTTCCGGTAGACCTGAATCCAGTTCTTCCCAACAACGCTCAAAGCCTCTGAGCACCTCCTCATCCTCAGTGTTGGAGTCCGAGCGAGAACTTCGTCCACACCGGCGACGAGGTGGTGTCTCATCTCTCGAGATGGTAGACCGTCAGGGGTCACCGGATCAGGCGGCTCCTCAACCTCTTCAAACTCACCTTCATGTTCATCTGGCGCTGAGCTGGGTGGATCAGGCTCAGGCACTGACCTCTTGCTGGCCCGGCGACGGGCTGAAGAGGATAGGGAGGTTCACTCGGCCCAGTCACTCCTCGTGCTCGTCCATCTCGTGAGGGTGGAGAGCTTGGCGTCGGTGTCGGCGTCCGTGGCGGTGGAATCCTCGAGGGTGAAGTTCCCACCGGAGACATTCTCTCTGAGCCAGTGCGGTTGTCATCTTGCTCCTTTCGGGCTCGTTTCAAAGCCCGTTGCAAACCACGGTAGTGCTCCCGCACGGTTGAGCACCATGTGGCCATGGACATGTTCAAAGGCCTGCGAAGGCAGACGAACAGCTGCTCGGCTTTCGTCCCGGCGTCCGGAACTGGCACCCGTCCAAGGTGCTCCTCCAGGTAGCGGATCAGGAAGAGCGCTCCATCGTTGCTCACCAGGTCGCGGTGTGAGATGTAGTGGGTGATCGTCCAAGCTCTTCCTGTCAGACCAGCGACCAACTCTGGTCCAAGGTACTTCCGGCGCCGTGCCCTCGTCCTCTCACAGGCCAACCGGACCTTGCGAACGTAGTCCGGAAAGTCGGGACCCGGAGATCTTGTCTCTCCGAAGTCATGACCTCGTGAGGTCTGTGTCCTGGTTCTGCGTCTCCCACGCGCCAGGTCCGTCAGGTCAAAGGCCAAGACGTAGTGCCCAGCAGCGGCCGCTCCAAGCAGCGAGATGTCAAAGTCGAGGGAGAGCGAAGCCCAGGACCAAGGTGCAGTCGAAGCGCACCAGCCACCACTTGCCCTGGTCGAATTCCGCGCCGCTGGCTCCGGCTCAAAGACTTCTCACCAGCGGGCTCTGCAAGCTCCGCTACCAGTCACAGTGAGTGACTAGCAGCGCTTCAAGAAGCTAAAGGTGCAAGCTTCTCTGTTCTCTTCCTCCAGCAACCCCTCCAAGGGGTTCAGCCGCTCGCACCCTATGGCGCGAGGTCGAAGCGTCCGTAGGGGTACTCTCAAAAGGAGTCTTGGCCGAAGGGGTCCCTGTGACCCGTTTGAGGCAAAAAGGAACAGAACGGCAGGCCCTGAGAGCGCAGTTTTTTGCTATTTTTCATTTGTTCTTAGGCCTAGATTTCGACACAGAAACTGCACTCCCAGGGTGGCAGCAGGCAAGGCAAAGCAATATTTGGATCTAGAGTGGTGCCAAAAGCATTGAAAAAACCAAGAAAAATCTATATTTTCAGACTCTCTGGAGGGGGTGGGTTCCCAGCCAAGATTTTCTGAATATTCTTTGTGGCAGCAGGCAAGGCAAGGCAATATTTGGATCTAGGGGATGCCAAAAACATCAAAACAACAAACAAAAGAACCCCCCCAAAAAAAAACACAAAAAACACAATTCTGGTGAAGTCTTGAGGAAAGGGGGGTCCAGCCAAGAGTCTCTGAGAATTGTTGTTTTTGGTTCTTTTGTTTTTTTGTTTTTTGGTTTTCCCAAGGTTTATGGGCTTTTCCTAGGTTGTTATTGGTTTTCTCTATATTTTCTCGAGACTGTTTGTGTTTGTTTTCCAGTGCAAAGGACATTGAAGCAGCTTTCACAGACACATAGCATGAATACAGGCCACAGTGGGAAGTTTATAGCACATAGATGGAAGTAGGCAGCAAAAAAACATAAAAATCGCTAAACGCTGCAACTACGAACATACTGGGCACAAAGAGCAAAAATATCTAAATATAAATATTCAGAAATGCATTCCAGTGAGGAACCTCTGACAAGGAAAAATTACTTATAGTGTTGTCCCATGGGGTCTGTATTTATGTGTTCCATAAAAGGGTTGCTTTTCAAGTGGCAGATAAATAAATAAACAAAAATATATATAGTTATATTGCATAAAATTAAGGAACAAACACACCTCTAGAAAATCTACTTTCCCAGAGGTCCAGAGGAAAACTATAAAAATAAAAGCTTTCAAACAAAGCTTTTCAATATAGAAGTGATCAATCCCAGAGATCTGGGGGTAAGTTTTTGCAAAACATTTTTATATATGTTTCGGAAAGTTATTGAAACATAGACATATTTATTCACATTGATCCTTTCTTGTGAAATACACAGCTTCTATATATATATATAATCGTTAAACAAATCATCATGCCCAAAGATCTGGTGGACAGCTTTTGAAATGCACCCTTGGATATTAGCCTTGAATATAGACGTGATCAATCCCAGAAATCTAGGGAACAGCTTTTGGAAAAACACTTACAATGTAGAGGGAGTTTTAAATATAGAAATGATTATTTTCAGAAATGAAAAGGTAAGCTTTAAACAAAATTGCTTGTATACATGTTTTTAAATATGGAAAACTAATATTCTCAGAGATTTAAAGTAAAACGTTTGAACAAAAAGGCTTTCAAATATAGTTATTTAATGTAAAAAATCCAGAAAATTCCAGAGATGAAGAGGAAAACTCTTGAATTAGCAGCTTGAAAAGTTATTCCAAATATTACTTGAACAAGTCTATCTGTCTACCTAAAAGGCAATTTTTTGACCTAGTTCCCAGCACTCCCAGGGCAATAAAACACTGTAAAACACATGATTTTATATCATTGTGTCTTAAACTCACACCCACAGCAACACCTGCTCTCTGGAATTAATTCAAGAATCAACTGTTCACAATCAAAACATCATATTTTTCTAAGAAATATGAGATTTGACCCTATAGTGGTTATGCCAAAGTTTTACTATACCTTAGTCTAAAGAAAATTTTAGCTTTTGCAGTAAAGGTACCCTTCTCACACCCAATTGTCTTGCCAAACTCTCACCTTCTAGCCCTGCCATCACAAGAAGGCCAGACTCAAAGGCAACTGCACACTATATAGATGCTGATAAGCCACAAAACTATACATGTCAAATGACTTAATGGAATTCTTAAAAGTAGCAAAAAAGTGCACTCTCAGCCTGCCACTCTCAAAAGGAACAAGTGGCGTAGAACATGCTTCTCGTGGCATGATGGACACCTGGTGGCTAGACCAAAAACAAGCTGAGGCATTTCCAATCAGAACTTCATCAAGCGGTATTGTCTCGGTCCAGTTCAATCGCCGAAGGAAAACGAATGAACTAGCCGGGTTCCCAAAGAAGTGTGGCAGCCGAGTCAAACAAGACTCGGAGAGACATTTTTCTGGCAGCGAAACAGCGCATCGTATTCTTTTCGTTTCATGTGGAAGCTCGATAAACATAAAGCCCACCTGTTTACCTTTGACCACATATGCAGGCATTCGTTATTCAAATCACCACAAAATACATGACTTCATGACTTTCCAAATAGAGCGTTGGCAACAGAGGCCAACAGCATACATCAACCTGCGCTGCTCCAGCCCACTGCATCTAGAATTCTAATGACACCTGCAACTAATTGTCTCCAAGAACCCGACCAATGAACAACAAGGGAGCAAAGTTCTCATGGGGTTCCCCCAAAAGACATGGGATTGGCATGGATCCGCCAGTGCGCGCGCGTTTGTGTGTGTGCCCCACTCCGTTTCTGGGATGGAGAGGACATGTGAGGCTCCATCCAACGAAGCTCCTCACATGATTCTAGGATATCATCAGGGGACGCCTGATGACGTACCTGCTTCGTGATACCACACCAATTTTCCTTTCTGTGTTTTGCTTCAATGGCGGCTTTCACGATACTTCCCCAAACCTTTTCCACTGGATCTTGCAGCCGAACTGATTCAGCTGACGTTGTCGCAGACTTCGAGCGCTTTGAGAAACTTTGTTCAAACACCTTCACATCGACTGACCCAGCGATCGTGCGGTTCCTGCATTCATTTCCCTGTGGATTATGACATTGGATGAAGCCTTATCTAAGTGTGTGTGTGTGTGTGTCATCTGTTTCCACAGATCTTTGGAAAGGTCTCTGAGAATCATTCGTGCACATCATATGTGGAGCTCAATGTCCAACCACTGACCCCCTCAGTAGGGAAAATAAAGGTTATATCATAATCCTCGGTGCTCAGACACTGGAGAAATGGTCTCTCTATAATGGGAAAATTCCTGTAAAATGACTGGCAAAGGTGTTTCTATAAAATGCCAAACCAAATCCAGCAGTAGTATAATATGATGAAAAATAACACCTCTATAAAATGATAAAGCCAGATCTCAATAGAACACGAGACCTCTATAAAATGCAAAACCAGATCCAGGAAAACATATTCGGATAACATATCCCTGTAAAATGCAAAACCGGATAAAGATGAATCAAGGTACATCAAATTCAAAAATCATGAATCAGTATGCATCAGTCAAAAAACCATTTGACAGGCGTTTTGTAGAGACCTTTCTCTTCACGGCTCGAATTGCCCAAAGAGCCTCTATAAAATGACATGCCTAGGGTTCCCGATGCCAAATTTTGGACACTTCTTTTCAATGGTGGAGGTGCTGTCACTGTTTTCGCCAGATTCTGCCTTTGCCTGCCTGCCTGCATTCACAGGCCTGCGGATGCATTTTTGGTGCCTGGTCAAAAATGGTGTTTGCCTGTCCGCAAAACCTGCGGATGCAGTTTTCGGGGCCTAGTAAACGCATCAGCCAAAACTGCTCTTGCATGTCCACAAAACCTGCGGATACATTCTGGGGTCCTTTAAAACGCATCAGCTTCCCCCAGTTGCTGGTGGGTCTGGAAAGGCATTAGAATTCGTGTTTGGAACCACCAGTGCTTTTTTTTGGCAGACTTGAAAATGCATCCGGAAGGTTGTGGATAGGGATTAGGATCTACCCCCCCTCCATAAGAATGTTGAAGGCTTCACACATGTTCTCTCTATAAAATATTACAACATGCTATTGCCAGGTGCGATCGCTGTCACATATGTCAACCCCGAAAAAAACATATGTACAAAATACAAGACCAGATCCAGATGCTCTCACAACAAGTTCTCTATTAAAATGCAACACCAGATCTCAAGCTAAGTTTGTTTGTCAGCCCTCCACTACTCTATAAAATGCTCTTGCCAGGTTCACAAGACTTGCAAAAAAAAAACACTAAAACCAACAAACATACTCTCAGTAAAATGCTGTCGGAGGATCCGGAAAAGCTACAAAACGGCTCACTCTCTACAAAATGAGGGTCCAAAAGGCACTTATAGAGTCAAATGAAGGCATTTTATAGAGGACCAAGCACGGAGGATATATATATATATACATAACATCATAACATGATAATGATAACCTTTTTCCGTCCGTCCATATATAGTTACTGGCGAAATGAACTCCCCAGAAAGGTTTTTCAGGATGTTCGTTCTGTTGGCCGGTCAAAACCGACTTCCACCGACTGGCTAGGACCAGCGATCGTTTCAACGGCTCGCTCTCCGCCTGATCCAGGCCATAGCTCCGCAAGAGCCCAGCGAAGGGATTGCCTGTGGCAGCGATGGTCGTTCGCTGGAGCGGACTCTGTCGCCCGAGGGGGGGGAAACAGTTGTCTAGGTCTACAGGACGTATTGTTTCTGGTTTCTTTAGATCCAAAAATTGGTACAGTACCAGTTGGAGGGAGGCCTCCCTGGCAACCGAATGCACGCTCAACAAGCCAGATGTGAACTACATAAGCCGGACTGACGGTCTGCCCAAAGGACTCCTGCGCACCTAAAAGAGTCTCTATAGACTCTAGAGTCCTACATCATTTCACGTCTGAGGGTCGGCAACATCCCAAACCGAACAGCTCGCACTCTCCCTGGTCATCCAGAAATCCAGGGATAGCAGGGCAACAAGTACTAGCAGGGCTACTAGCAGGGCTACTAGCGGGCAACTTGCAGGGCTACTAGCAGGGCTACTAGCGGGGCTACTAGCAGGGCTACTAGCAGGGCTACTAGCGGGGCTACTAGCAGGGCTAGTAGCAGGGCTACTAGCGGGGCTACTAGCAGGGCTAGTAGCAGGGCTACTAGCAGGGCTACTAGCGGGGCTACTAGCAGGGCTAGTAGCAGGGCTACTAGCAGGGCTATGTACACCATGACGTCGCATTCGATTGAAAAACCACCAGGTCTTCTTCTCTCGTCCACCACGTTGCCCACCTTCTGGTGGCTCTTTGAGTCTCCAAAGCTTTCGGGCCAAGTGCGGGTGGCGCGCCATGGCTGCCTGCATCGTGTCCTGCGGCACCTACGGTCAAAGCCGCGAGGTCCTAACCAAGGTGAAAACAAGCGAACGCTTTGTGGTTTTTGTACGTTCCGTTCAGGATCTGTTCAAACTGAAGGTCACCATGAACTAGAAATGTTTAAAACACTTTAGAACTCGATGTGGGGAGCTGGTGTTCCAAATCCACTAAACTCACCAGCTTCATGGATATTCATCCAAATCTAGAATGCTCCCGTCCAGGTTTTGACCCAACCCTGCAACACACATGGATTGCTCGCGCTTTCTCCCGACTCCCGAACCGGACTCCGGCCACACTCCGTGGAGGGGGCCGATTTCTGGAGGGGTACCACCCCGCACGGCACTGACTCGATGTCCCGCTTTCCGCGGTGCTTCGCTACGGCTCGGCTCGGTACCACCGCGGTCTTTCCGCCGTCCAGGGCACTGGCACCGTGTTCAGCGGCGACGGCGAGAAGAGGGCCTGAAAGCGCCGAGAGTTGTGGAGGGCAGTTCGGTGTCCCAGGAAGAGCAAGCCGGGACCGCTGGGCGAAATCAAACAGCGAATCAAATCCCTTTCTTTTTTCGTTCCTTTTCTGGGGGGGTCTGGGATTCTCTGATCGTTTCTGTATAAGCAAAAGCAAGGTGAAACATGCTCAACTACGTCGTGGTTTCCCCCGTGGCAGCACGGCAAAAGCAGCAACACTTGAGGGTCCCAGCTTGGCCAGGACAAGTGGTTGCATTAGCTAATTTGGCAGCCCCTTGGCTCCCAAAGATGATAAGGCTGAGCCACCAAAGAGCCCAAGCCATTCTTTGCCACATCCTCAATGAGCTCGATGGTCTTCACTGGCCCAGGGGACTCCCGAAGACTCTGGCCGACTTCCAAAGCCTTTTGGGTGAATGCCTCGCGCTTGGCCAGCACCTCCTCAAGCGCTGCCTGAACATCCTTGGCTGTACAGGTCAAAGGATTCAGGATTGGACCGCAGCCCATGGAGTTTAAGAGCTTGGCATTCTCCGGTTGATCTCCGAAGCCCGGGTAGCAAATCACCGGCTTGCCTGCCATCATCGTCTCCATGGTGCCCCCCCCAGCCGCAGTGTGTCAACACACACAAGAGTTCAGGTCGTTGGATGATCTCAGCCTGTGGCACCCAGGCGCTCACATGGAAACGCTCTGGGAGGTCTTTCAAGAAGACCTGCTTGTCCTTCTTTAAGGACCAAATGACCCAAACATCACACGCAGCAAAGCCATCATAGAGAGCTTGGACTTGAGCTTCGCTGAGCTGCATCAAACTGCCTGTGGTAATGTAGGCCACTGGCATCTTAGCAGCTTTGGCTTTTTCCAGGAACCCCAGAAGATCAGCATGTTTCTCTGGTCTTAATGCCCTCTTCTCGAAGCCATCCAATGGTCCTGATGAAAAATAGTTTGGAGGAAGCTTCACTCCACCATCCATGATGGGACAGCTATTCACGATGGTCAAGGTTCTCTCGGCCGCCGGAATGCTGATTTGTGAGATGAACTGGATTCCCCAAAAGGAACCTGGAGGACCCGCGACGAAGGGCGCCACGTCCCTCACCAGTGGCAAACGCAAGAGCCGCATCCTTAGGATATATCTGCTGTGTTGCTGTGCAAACCGGGAAAAAGAGTTGCTAAAGCATGTTGAAACAACAAAAACCACCTTCCCCAAAAGTGGGTGATGATAAAGGCACCCTACAATCACCGTACTGTGTATATATATACACATCAAAATATACTGACATATATTGTATACATGTATTTATATAGTATATATTATAAAATAAACAAAAATATGTTATATGTGAGTTAAGCCAAAGCAGGCATCCGATGAACGAGCGTGCCTGGAAAAGCCATGTTCAGGACCAGCATCGTTTTCGTCTCTCTGGCCGCGGTGATCGCAGCGCCACTCGCATAGTCTGCCAAGACCAAATCGGGTGCTTCGCGCACCAAAAGCTCCAACATCAGCTTCTCATGTCTCTCATAGTATTCGCGAAACACGGGCCCGGTGGGATCTGGAATAGCCTTGAGCTCCTCAGTAGTATAGCTATCCTCAAGGCCTTCGTAGTGGACCTTGACGGCGCTACACAAGTCATTCATTTGGGATAGACCTTTGGATGATACGAAGATCATCTGATGCCCGCGCTGGGCCATGGTCTTGGCCAAACTCAGCAAGGGCAGCGCGTGGCCCATCATGGGGATGGTGTAACACACCACTTTCAGCTTCACATTTCCAAGAGGTGCTGCATCTGCAGAGGCCATGGGAAGACTTCCTCTGGCGAGAGCAACGCCTCTTCCTAAAAGCTATGAATGGCTCCTGACCCAAATTGGCTGCGGAAGCAAAGCAGTGCTAGGACAGACGGGTTGAACAAGTGGAGTTTGTGACAACTCCATTGCGAAACAATAGATTGCTTGTGGGAAAGATCGCAACAGTTCACTGGCCAGCTCTAGTGCAAACAACTGTCCCATTGATTTCCACGATCACTCTGTTCACTTCCACTGCATCCGAACCCCCCCGAAAGCAAACCCGGACAGGGCGCATAAGAGGGTTCATCTGCGAAGTGCTCGAAATATTTGGTATCCAAGCGGTCATTGGAGATGTTGCAAACGAGCGCCTGTGGTGCCACAAAGGCCATTCGCCACCTATAAGGGTTGTATATTGTTGTGTAGTAGACAGTGGGTGGATGTGTGTGGTATTTATCGTACACCCTCATGCAGCTATGTTTAACAAGTTGAGTTGCTTGGTGTCATAGATATCCCCCCACCTGCTGAAAAACAAGTTGTAAGTCCGACCTCCACGACTGCCCTACAGCATTCTCTCGCCAGAAAAAGAAAGACAGAACACCGGGAGGGTTGGTCTTTCACCGACCTCGACGGCTGGTCTTTCGGCTGGTCTCATCCGCCTCCCTAAGGTGAAAAAAACAATATCAATCCATAGGAGCCAACAGAGGTCTGTTTTATTCATCAACGGTTTGTTTTATTAACCAATCTGCATATTTCTGTATTATGGCACCACCAATGTTTCGATGAAGAAGGGTCCAACCCTCTAGGCTAAGACAGGCCAGCGCCATCTGCATCCTCGCGGCGGGTTTGGTCGAATCCTCCGGCGGGTTTCGTCCCAAGAGTGCAGTGCCCCAGGCCGAAAGTAGGCCATAGCGCTTGCCTTGGCCGCTGGAGTATGCTGGAGTTGACCCTGTGAAGTGCATTTTCTCACGAAGGTTCAGTTGTTTCAATGGCCGAACATTCATGCCACCAACGACGGTGAAATTGACCCAAAAGCCCCAATGGGCAGCGCCTCATCTGCGCACACAGATTTGGCTCATCTGCGCACACACATTTTGTTAGCACTTGCGCCTCATCTGCGCACACAGTCCATGGGGGAGACTCAAGTGCGCACACAGGCCTTTCCCGGATGTTTGCTTAGTTAAAAGGGTCGTCAAGATGGAATGGCCACTTCCTCCTCTAAATTTTACCCTCGGGTGGATCACCAAAGGGTGAGTCAACTTGGAATGACCACTTCCTTCTCTAAATTTTACCCCTGCCTTGCCCACAAAAGGGTGAGTCAAGTTGAAATGGCAACATCCTTC